GGGCCGAAAGCTAGCGGACTGCCGCGAGAGCAAGAGAAAACGAAAGAAAGAAAGCTCGAGAGTGCAAGAAAGTTGAAACGGAAGGAGACGAGGCGCGGTTTTCGTCCTTCGTGACGCACGGAGGCAGAGAGAGAAAGAGAGAAAGAGGTTTGTCATAGGCGGCGGAGGGATACATCGCGGCGTGAACAATCTAAATGGTAATCCAACACCACACCCTCTTTGCAAAAACTGAAAACCATCGCTGGCAGGCAGCGAGCTCGAGTGATGGCCGGCTGACTGGCCGACAAACCGCAAGGCAAAAATACCCCGCGCGAATACATACGCCGGGGCTGCGAGACAAAAAGCATTAACAAGGCGCGCGTCCAACCTTATATATTCTATAACCCTTTCCTCGCCCCTTCCGCCTCTCTGCTTTTATTTCAGCTTTTATCTCACGTGCCGCTATTCTCTCGTCTGTTTGTTCGTCTCTCTCTTGCCGTTCATTTCTCCTGCTACCCTTCCCCCAGTGTTCTCTCGAACTTCAACCTCGATCGCGTTCGTAGATTGTTTTGTCCTTCGCGGACGACTAAGGAGGAAGACGGACTGTCAACCGAGGCGGTAATTATCGAGAGGGCGGGTGGAGGAGACGGTCAGACGGGTAATTATCTGCCGCGCGTGTAAAACTAATAATTAGCTACCGTCGTTGCATTAATTAAAGCGGAACCCCCCACCCCTCCCTCGCGCCAATGCATTCATCTCGCTCGTTCTCGCCGCTTGTAATTACGCGTGTCTCTTCTAACCACTGTCGCACAATACCTAATACGTGCTTGCAATACTCGAATATCTGCCTGCGCGGCTCTGAGAAGATTGACGCGATTAACTGATTCCCTGCTTTCCGATCGATTCTCAGTAATGGAATAACGCGTCGTCGTGTTAGGCGCGAAATAAATTGGGAGGCAGGTCTCGTGTGTGTGACTTGGCATGCTTCGAAAGTGATGAAATTCACCAATTTTGCACCTCCGGCCAACACGTACAGATTGCAAAGTTACGTGTCCAATTGTTTTTTCTCCTTCGATTTCATAAACCTTAAACTTTTGCTCGAAACGTGGTAATTTACACTCTGTTGCAGAAAACGCAGAAAGCTCTGCTGTGTCGGAACTATCTCGCACTACTAGATACGAGGAAATAACATGAAAGAAAGAGAGAGAGAGAAAAGAAGAGAAAAGGAAACAGATACGTGCACTTTTGTATTCGAGAAAGGAATACCGCGAGTCGGATCGTACGAAATTCGCGAACGAGACGAGACGAGACAAGACGAAAAAGGGACGGTATACAGACGTACACAGATATACACATACGAAACGTAGCTAGATGTAAGTAGATTACTTGCCTGACGCACCTGTTTGAACTGCTCTTCGAAGCTCCAGCTGGTCTGCTGCTGGTGATTCGTCCCCGTCGAATTGCTCTGCTGCGAGTGGTTGCTGCCCTCGCGAGCCTCGCCGCCGCCGGTTCTGCCGCTGCTCTGCGACGATTCGCTGGAATGAGAGCTGGCCGAGGACGTCGCCTGGTTGCCGCTGACGCTTCCGGTACCGACAGCCGCTGGCTGCGGCTGAATGTTCTGCGAGTGATTCGGCGGCGTTAGAAAGGCCGCCGGCGGCGGGAACGTGAACGGCAGATTGAAACCGCCGCTACCCATCGCCGCGTGCAATGCCTCCAGACCGCTTTTACCAGCCAACGCGTCCAACTCCCCTTGCTGCGAACAATTTCCAATCTTTCACGGACCTTGTTTTCAATTCTTTTTCTTTCTCTGAACCGAAAGTTCTTCCAACTCGCACAAGGCATCCTCCAACATTTTCATAATCAAGCCACCATTCTCGTTCGAATACACACAGCTTTCACGAACGCGTATTCAACGCGTTTATTAACGTTTATTAACGTTCACTTGGAGATACTTGTGAAAAATATTTTTCAATATATTACAGTTTAATCCTTTCGGTCAGAGTGCCGGATATTCATCTGATGAACCGTACGTGTGTACTTATAATATAATTAATAGAATTTTATATAAATGTCTTTTAGAAACATTGCTTCATTAAGCACAGTTCTTATTTAACGCTTAGGAAAATCTTTATACTAAAGAGGACTGACCACGCGCTATCTGTGCATTTTCGGAGCGCTCGTACCGAAAGGGTTAAACAGACGGTTTTTCCTCTTTTGCAAATTGGCATACACTGTTAAAAAGGCACTAATTTTATCAATTTATACAAGAACGGTACCTTCAATAATTTTTCGAGATATATTATTAGGCAAAATAGGTAGTTCCGCAAACTAGCTTCCAAAATTTGAGGATAGTTTTCACTTCTTCAACATCGACGATTGTTGATGAAAAAGATACAAGTGTTTTTTTTTTTTTTTTTTTTTTTTTTTTTTTTTTTTTTTT